ATTCAATATTTATTGGTGTGGTCAAAACCTGCAGAGGCGAAGGCGTTCATAATATTACAAAGTGATCCATCTGATACATAATTAGTTAGTCTCACACAATTTTATCTTAATTACAATTTATTAAACATACTGACATAACACAAACTTCATAACTCTATTAATCTTAGCTTCGCTTCACTCTGCATTGTCTTATTATTCCAGGTTAGGCAGAAACGAGTAGGCGTAATTATTCAACATTATTTCAGTACCGAGGGGTATGTCATCACTTAGGCTGTACTTACAAGTGTGGGTCAATGCAGATCAGTATGGTGTTCCAAGAGAAAACAGTATTGCGTAAATCGTCCCAGCACAAATTCTCGGACAGAAGGCTGGTCTTCACAGCATCACTAGAGAGGGCGATCTGTCTCATGGAGGGGCGGGCAGCCACCGCCACCGGTCTAAGACAGTCCACTCAGCAGAACCAGGACTTATCTCTAAACACTTTTACATCTGGCGAGGTCACAGGTCGAAAGATTTAATGGCATCACACGCCAGCACTGTAGCTGAAGCCAGCGGCGATAACACTCCCGGCGCTGGGCAATCGCCCAAGATGTACGGTGTGGCGTGTTCAATAAGGTATACACGGGTCACTGGCCTTCGCACAAGCACCTGGCGCACTAGACCATTGGCTCCCGGGACTGGTGTCGTGACCCTGCCCAATGGCCGTTTGTTGCGAGGAAGATCTTCTTCGGTGACGAAGACAAGGTCGCCTGTCTGGAGATTACAGGTTGGTTCTATGTACCTCTGTCTTTTGCGGAGTAGTGGAAGGTACTTCCTCACCCAGCGTTTCCAGAAGCGGTCTACTAGGAACTGCACGTGCCGCCACCGTCGTTGATTTAAGTCTTTCAGAAGACATCCTCCCAATAGCAGATCAGCATGTGGGCCACCGTGGAGAATGTGAGCTGGTGTAAACGCTTCAAGGTCTCTCATGTCGCTCGACGCAGGTGTGATGGTTCGACTATTTATTATTGTTTCCACTTCACAAATAGCATCAGCAGTCGGTATTCATCCAGGACTTCTGTCCCCAGAATCGTTCTAAGAACCTTTAGATGTTCGAATTTGCCATTCCCAAATTCCAAACGTCGTGCTGCTTCCCTTTCTTCCCCCTTTGTGAAATACGCCTCCAGCATTTCAGTCACGATGTGCTTAAAGTAATTAACAAACTGAAGCCTCATAAATCGCCTGGTCCAGACGAGGTATATGCTAGAGTATTAAAAGAATGTAGAGATGAGTTGAGTAATCCATTTGCAGTTTTATTTAATAAGTCATTAGAATCGGGCCTAGTGCCAGAAGCTTGGAAACTTGCAAATGTAGTTCCGATTTTCAAAAAGGGTGATAAATCAATTGCATCAAATTACCGTCCCATTAGTCTCACGTCAATCATAGGCAAGTTGCTAGAGTCAATTATTGCTAAAAAATCAGAAGCCACCTTGAAACATTCAACTTAATTCATTCTTCTCAGCACGGGTTCACCCAGGGACGTTCTTGTCTCACAAATTTGCTTAGCTTTTTCTCAGAAGTATATGAAGCGGTAGATAATGATAAGTCATATGATATAATTTATTTAGATTTCAGTAAAGCATTCGATAGAGTCCCCCATGAGAGATTGATAAGGAAGGTAGAAGCACATGGAATAGGTGGATCATTATTAAAATGGATTAGGTCATGGTTAACTGGTAGGAAACAAAGAGTCAACATAAATGGATTAAAGTCAGACTGGGGTGCGGTCAAAAGCGGAGTTCCCCAGGGATCTGTATTAGGCCCTCTGCTGTTTGTTATATTCATTAATGATCTTGATTTAGGCATAACTAGTAGGATTAGTAAATTTGCAGATGATACCAAGATGGGGAGAGTGATAAATTCAGACAGTGACTTTGAACACCTTCAAAGAGATCTAGATACCTTACATGAGTGGTCAGTAGACTGGCAAATGAATTTTAATACTGATAAATGCAAGGTACTACAGATAGGGAAGACGAATACAAACGTTAAGTATAAACAGGTAACACGGAAATAGAAAACTCAGTTTGTGAAAAAGATCTAGGTGTATTTGTTAGCAACGACTTGAGACCTAGAAAACAATGTATTAGCGTTCGCAACAAGGCAAACAGGATTCTTGGGTTCATATCTAGGTCTATGAGTAACAGAACTGCTGACGTTATCTTGAAACTTTACCTAGCATTAGTGAGGCCACACATGGATTATGCGGTTCAGTTCTGGTGTCCTTATTATAGAATGGACATAGATTCTTTGGAGATACAAAGAAGAATGACAAAAATGGTCCTAATATTAGAAACCTTCCATATGAAGAAGAAGACTGAAAAGCTTGAAGCTTACATTCATTAGAGAGGCGTAGGTTAGGGGAGATATGATGAGGGTGTACAAGTGGGTAAGTGGGATTAACAAGGGTAAAATGGAAGATGTTCTGAGCTCAGTAATAACGAAATAACTAGAACAAATGGCTTTAAATTAGATAAAATTCGATTCAGAAAGGATATAAAGCAAGCACTGGTTTGGTAATAGAGTTGTGGATATGTGGAATAGGCTACCGAGTGCTATAGTAGGATCGGGGACGCTAGGGAGCTTCAAGACGAAGTTGGATAGGCACATGGAAGTGCTGGGATGGGTGTGAAAGGGATCTGCCCTGTATGGGCCAGTCGGCCTCCTGCAGTATCCCACTTTCTTATGTTCTTATGTTCTTATGTTGAACCCGGGATTCTGGTCAGGTGCTGAGCATTCAGGCTCAGGCAGAGGGTGGCCCCCTTCAGCTTCTGTTGCCGTAAAGTCGCGGTTGTTCAGCTCTGGAGGGACAACTTCTACCTCTGGGTCTCGGTTACCTTTGTCATTGTTCACCATTCCCCTTCGTTGCTCTGGATCCATTTCCACAACCTCTTGTTCTTTTATTGATATTCATTTGCAGCTCCGGTTAGGTCTCAAAGTTTGTTCGGTGAACCACTGCTCACCGCCTGTATTTGGTGGTGCAGCTCGTTGCTTATATTTATGTTTGATGATAGCAGGTCACTGTTGGTTGCTCGTGGTGGTACAAGTGGCACTTCACTGCTGGCTGCTTATGGTGTTACAAGTGGCAGGTCACTGCCGGTTGCTTACGGTGTTACAAGTAGCATTTCACTGCCGGTTGTTTATGGTGTTAAAAGTAAATTTAATCACGCTTACTGTGTATTTCGTCGAGTTGGTTATTTGTTACCTTAAAACCGGTGGTAATGAATCAATTTTCCTTTCCTTCGTATTCTCAGTAGCGGGCGGCAGCTCTGCCTGTACGAAAAGGAACACTCGCAACCTGTGGTCCACACTCATATGACAGTGTCCCGACCAGTGCTGCTGTAATGTATGTTTCCAATTTAAGGGTACAAGTATGCAATACCAAAGGAGGACAAGAAATTCAGATATCATTCGACGATTTCCTTATTTTACGTAAGGTTAGTAACATATTAATTCGTTGCTGATACAGTAGAAAAAGCGATGAGGTTGACAGGTCAACGGATATGGTCATTCTGGTACCATCGTATAGTGAAAGCAGAAGGATTGTACACTGATTAGTACTTCTAAGGTTTTCGTCTGGCAACCACTATGTAAGGCTCCTTCTATCATCGGCGAATATCGTCTCACATTTGGTCTAATTGTATTTGTTATGATAAATTAGTTTATTTACTTCCTTTGGATAAGTGTCCCATGCACCAGATTCGTGCCGTTTTATGCAGAAAACGGAAACTGGTATCGTTCAAGAAAATCTACTAAATATTTCCTAATACACACCTGTATTTACGAACTTGGATCACGGTTATGTCAAACTGTAACAAATGAACTCCTACTAAATTGTCTGTGTATTGAATCTCATAGTACAAGCTTCTTTTAGGATTATTGTTCACTAACATCTTTGGTGTTGCTTGTGAATTAAGAGGCTCTGATTCATGTAGTCATCTGTCTGTCTTGGTAATTGGTGTATTTATTGTAGTTATTACACACTCAATGAACATAACTAATATCTTTTATGTGGATTACATGTATGTGCACATAAACTGATGTTCAACTAGAGGTTCTCTGCAATACCGCTATATTTGGTGAAATTCTATGCATACCACATGGGTGCACGGAGATTATTTAATGCTTGTGAGAGTCAACGTCTAACATATTCTCAACAACTGACATCTCCAGGTTAAGCCTCCTCGTCCTCATTTCCAAGACGAATGGCTAGCGAAGGACGTTTTGCTGTTGATTAGCTTGAGTACCAGGAACTCCGACCAAGGCATATCGTCAGGTTTGCCATAAATACTTAAGTGCCGAGACATCAGCGTTGAAACGCCACCGCACCTCAAGACAGCATACGGGTAAGGAAGAACTCCTCAAAGCTAGCACCTCTGCTTCGGGTAGCACGTTTGCTCATTGTGGCCAGCCTGGAGGCGGTGCCTTTGATCAACCTGACACGTCTTCACCCTGCCGGGGCCATACTGAGCGCCGCGGCGAAGGCAACTGCCCTATTCGCAGCGTTTTGGCAGAACATGATGCCATTCAGGTGACTTGGTGTTTGTTTCCTCTTGTGTTGTAGCCCAAAATGTAATGGCACTGCTCAATAAATGGTCATTATTAATGTGTCGCAAGTAAGGGTGGCAGAAACCTTAATCATTTAGCAGCATGTGATCTCACAATCTTCAATTGCAAGTATAGCCAAATAAATTTAATATTTCTTTTAGCTTATGTGACCACCTTGACGACCTCAATAAGCGAATGTTCCCGATTCCAAGACAGCCGCTCAAACGGCAACGAAACGGACCAGATGCAAGGTCGTCGTGCAAGCTTTAGGGGAATGTGCAACTCAAAACTTGGTTAGGAAACTACAAATAAATTTAGTGTAATTATTGACGAAAGTACCGACTGCTCAGTAAGTAAATCACGTGCAATGATAGTGAAGTATTTTGATCTGGAGAGATAATGACAAAATCGCGATGCTGGATTTTATTGGAGTATTTGAAGGTAATCAGGGTTCGACTGGTGAAAATATATAACATGCTGTTTCAGTGCCTCCCTACACATGATATACCATTGAACAACTTCATTGGGTCTGCTGCAGATGGGGCATTAAATATTAAGGGCGAATATAACTGTGTAATTAGCAGAATGAAAGTTCAAATGCTTGGCATTACCATATTTAAACGTGTTGCACAAAGCATGCATCTCTGTGCCATCGAAGCAGCAAAGTCCTGGCCACGTACTCGTGAAGATGTGATGAGAAATGTGTACATTTACCTTTCCCATAGTGCCAAAGGGAAATGTGAGTTTTGGAATTCCAGGGTTTTGTCAACTCAAACCACAAATATTTTATGCCTATGCCACGAGGTGATTGTCACTCCATGAAGCTGTTGCAAGAATACTCCAACAGTGGCATCCCCCTCAAACTGTATTTCCACATAAGGGTAATTGAGGAGAGACTTGTGTTATGCTACTTGAACTTTGAATTACATATTGCCGTAACTCAACACAATAAACTTGATTTTTTAGAATAAAGCCCCAACTTTGCATTTAATCCGTAAAGCATATGTCAACTGCATCCTTTTGCCATTTACATAGTGTGTCAAACTCCAAATGTATGGTATTGATCCAACCGATGATTCCCTATATGTACCAGTCAATCAGATATATTCAGGATCGCAATTACATGCCACCTTCCAAAGGCTAGAGCATTATAAGATAAGCATGAACACTGACGAAGATGTGGTTCAGAGACTTCTAGTAGTAGTAGTGTGTAGGGAAATAAAGAAAAGATTCGAACTAAACAGTAAGTTGTGGAGACTGGCGGTATATTTACACCCCAAAAGAGTCTGCAATTTTATAAACCTGTTATTAGCGTTTTAAATGAAGAGGGAAATGCAAAAAAAATTGTTTTGGACATTAGCAATGGAAGTGTTGTCACTTCTGACATCCACTGTTGATGCAACGTGTCCTTTTCTAAGGTGAATTTAATTAAGGAAACAGAGAAATAGTCTTCGTTTACAAACTGTAAATCCTCAATAACCTTTGAGCGAATGTTGTAATTTAATATTATTGTGGATATAGCGTATTGTTACCACGTGTTCATTGTAATCGGCTGTGGTGTTTCCATTATGTGATGGTGCTATAGTTGTTACCAGTCCCTTTCTTCTAATAAGCTTGAAGTTTTATGTTAAACGGTGATATTTTGTTTTCTAAGAGTTGTTGTTAGGTAGTAGGTAGTAGGCAGCTATACTCTGGAGCGGGGTGGTAATCTCGACAATATGTACCTAGATTTTGCCAAAGCTTTCGACAGTGTACCCCACGAAAGGCTAAAATTCAAATTGGAAGGGTACGGAATTCGGGAAATGTCCTAGCGTGGATAGAAGACTTTCTACAAGACAGCAAGCAGTGTGTGGTGATTAATGGCACGAAATCATCGTCCGTACCTGTCACAAGCGGGGTACAACAGGGCAGTGTATTGGGCCCGCTGTTGTTTGTTTGTTTCATAAATGACATGCCTGACCTTGTACACTCCTCCATACAAATGTTTGCCGATGACGCCAAGTTATTTCGGGAAATCAAGAAACCAAGCGGACTGTGGAGAGCTGCAGAAGGATCTCTGTGAGCTCCAGGAATAGTCGAAGAAATGGCTACTGAGTTTCAATGTCACGAAGTGTAAGAGGATGCACCTGGGGCGTACCAACGGTGAGGAGGCGTATCATGTGTCCCCACGGGATGAAGAATCTGCACTATTTAAAACAATGTGAGAAGGATCTACAGTAGGTGTGTATGTTGACAATGAGCTGAATTTCTCGGGCCATTGCGAAACGAAGGTAAATCAGGCAAAAAATTATTAGGTCTTATAAGAAGGTCGTTACGATCGTTACGCCAGCACTTACGCCAGTAGCGATGACACGTCCGGTGGTAAAGAGGTGGCCACGCCGCCGTAATCACCGCTCACCCCCTAATCTTTGTTCGGGTAAGGCAGCAAAAATGTCAGCACTGACACTAGTGCTGACGCCAGCGGTGAAAACACTCCCGGCGGTAAATGTTCCCCCAGTCGCTACATCTGGTGTGGTAACAGGCCGCGTGTGGGGTGGGGGAGGCACATGGTTGTTAACACCAACGATAAAGCCAGCGGCGATAACATTCTTCTGGCTAAATAAACTACCAATATCAATATTAATGTCAATAAGAATTCTACCAATTCTCGGAGAGCCGAATTTCAATATAAGTAAATATTTTAGTATAGTTTTTTTGGATGTTTATATGGCTTGACAACATCTTTTTATAGAGAGTACATATTCTACTTGATATTTTATATTCTATGTAGGTGTTCTGCATGATTCATCAGTGTAACCAAGTAGGCCATTGGGCCTAGGGCCCATCGGTATCTGGGGGCCCACTGAAACTAATTTGTCGCGCAGCGTGCCAGCGTATAACCTTGTTTCAAGTGTACACCGAGTATTTCATTACATAATATATTCACAACCATAGGGGCCCCTGTACAATAAGTATGCAAACATTTCTATAAATTTGGGGGCCCACTGATGAGTTTGGCCTGGGGCCCACAAGTAGGTAAATCCGGCCCTGATAACCACGGTAAGTCACTGGTGTAGGCGGATCAGCTGTTCTTTATGATCACTGGTGTGTACATACACACACACACACACACGTATAATCATTGGGAGGGTGGGCTTGCCTGTCCGGAATGAACAATAACAGCCCTTCCACTCGGACCGAAACCTTACGACACTGTCCGAGTGTAATGAATATTCATTCACTGAGTGCGCGGGCTTGCTCGTCGCAAACAAACACTCACAACCCTGTACGCTTGAACCGAAACTTTATGACAACTCCTCAGATATTTGAACACTTCACTCAAACACGCGACACTCTACGTCACTGTCTCTTGTGCTGACGTTATGACGATCTACGCTGTCCCACGCTGAAACTCCCGGCGTTGGTGGTTCCTTTGTTCCTCATGGTAGTTCAGAATTTCCTTCGACGCCCCCCCGCCCCCGTACTTGTTTTGACTTTAAACGCCTTAATTAAGGACGTTCAGGTTACGGGCAAGTCGAAGGGAATGATTAAAACCCGTCTTTTGACGCATTCAATATTTATTGATGTGGTCAAAACCTGCAGAGGAGAAGGCGTTCATAATATTACAAAGTGATCCATCTGATACATAATTAGTTAGTCTCACACAATTTTATCTTAATTACAATTTATTAAACATACTGACATAACACAAAGTTCAAAACTCTATTAATCTTAACTTCGCTTCATTCTGCATTGTCTTATTACTCCAGGTTAGGCAGAAACGAGTAGGCGTAATTAGTCAACAATATTTCAGTACCGAGGGGTATGTCATCACTTAGGCTGTACTTACAAGTGCGGGTCAATGCAGATCAGTATGGTGTTCCAAGAGAAAACAGTATTGCGTAAATCGTCCCAGCACAAATTCTCGGACAGGAGAAAGCTGGTCTTCACAGCATCACTAGAGAGGGCGATCTGTCTCATGGAGGGGCGGGCAGCCACCGCCACCAGTCTAAGACAGTCCAATCAGCAGAACCAGGACTTGTCTGTAAACACTTCTACATCTGGCGAGGTCACAGGTCGAAAGATTTAATGCCATCACACGCCAGCACTGTAGCTGAAGCCAGCGGCGATAACACTCCCGGCAGGAGAAGGCTGGTCAGATTTACAGATTGCCCTGGAGGGGCCTAGTTTATTGGGCACCCCCTTACATCCTGTGCAAGGTGAAGCGCAGAAGCGTTTACAGTGCCCAACTGGGAAGCATGCGGAGTTCATGCTTGCTTTTATGAGTCATGCATTAAGGGCGTAAAAGGCCTGAAGGGTCATGGGTTCTGTCAGCAAGTTACATAAAGTGACAATGATGAGTGTGTGGGGGGAAAATTCCCGGTACAATTTATCTGTTTATGGCAAAGTGTGGCAGGTCCCTAATAATGTCAAGTGCCAGGCCTGTCACTAGGAGGAGGGATATCTGGTCAGGGAGGGAAGAGGTGCCACCCCTGTAGGGGGATGTCATAGGGCAAATGAGGATGCGGTGAAAGAGGGTGTGAGAGTCTGTTGACCACAAAGCTTACAAACAGTGCGGCCAGGCTCAGGGTTGCCAATGTACTAGGCGTGGCGAAGTATAGTGGGGGTGGAGGTGATATGGTGTGGTGGGACAGGTACAGTAGAGGTGGAGGGAGGCAAATAGGCATTGACAACATTGAGGGACACACCTTTTAGTGTTATTGTGATGGTGTGTTCGTCGACATGTCGGTGGGGTACAGGTAGCCGGGGGTGGTGTCCTCAGGTCCAGGTAGCCCTGGTGGAGACAGCTCAGACACGGGAGCGGGCGAGGCTTGTGGTGGGTGGTGGACAGGTTGAGGCACCAAGTGTTGTGAGGATGAGGCAGGACTTCGCTCGGGGGCAGCAGGACACACCAGGGCAGGCTCGGTAGGCGCTACACTAGTAGTGAAGGCCGCCGGCGGTGGAGTAGGCCGTGAGCAGGGGGAGTTCACAGGGGGACCAACAGCTTGTGTCAAACCAGCAGAGAGGAGTGACTGGGTGGCAACAGAGGGCAGGAGTAGGTGGGAGATGGTGGTACAGAGTGTAGCGAAGAGTTGTTCAATAAGGTTGGTAAATTCTTGGAAGAGGGCTATGATCTGTGTCATGTCACTGGCGGGGGGTTGTGGGGGGTCACTGGTGGGAGCACAAGGCCTGACAGCCTCAGAGTAGAGACGGGGAGGAGGCCCAGTAGTAATTGAGTTAGGAGACGGCCGGGACTGCTGTGTTGTAGCCAGATGAGGCCAGGCAGAGGCAGGTGTTGTTGAAGAAGGCGTTGCTGGAGACACAGGGTACACAGGGGGGTGTGGCCCGGAAGACTGAGGGGGGCGTTGTGGTAGACTTGGCCTTCGGGGAGGCTTTTCCCCTGGGACAGACGGGCGATTGGGGCAGCCGTGAGTCAGCATTGTGCCGGCCGCCACAGATACAACATCTGGGATTAATTACATAGCCCACCCCACCACTATTAAGGTGGTCTTTGATTTTCTGGGCACAGGCGGGGGAGTTGTGGTTACGTGAACAGAAGCGACATCTCGGCCGATCACGACGACAGCAGGCAGTGAAGTTGTGACCCCAATGAGAACAGACAACACAAAATGCAGGCTCAGGATGATAGACTTCTGCATACAGTGGGGGTAAGAGTGGGTGGGCATTCACAGTGGTTGGGCACTCCCTTCCCTTCCACTTGACAATGACAGCGGGTTGTGGAACTCTCCCCCGGTAATG